GCTTCCCGGGCGCTATCGCGGAGGTCATCAAACGCCTGCGCTCGCGGCGAGGCAAGGCGTTTTAACTCTTCCCGAGTTGCCGTGGCCGCGCAATCGACGCGGCCGGGAAATGGGACGGGAGGGGAAAAGACGCCCGGGGAGAGAGGCGCGTTTCCTGCCGAAAGACGAGCCGGAATTTCGGTATCTCTTCGCCGATAGAAAGTTTATCTTACGACTCCACGTGGCCGGCGGGACGACGAGCGCTCGGATGAAGGAGTTCGGCTTCCAAGAAAATCGCGCCGTCCGATGGGCGTGTGCGCAACCCTCGGATAACATCGATTCGAGATATCTCAAGTCCGCGCCGTCGGACGCTCGTTAGCAATTCGTTATCTGCGCCCGTGCAACGTCTCCCTTCAAAAGGCGCCGTTTAAATGACACGGGTCTTTTGTAAGGTACTTTGGCCTCTGTTAATACAGACAAAATATTTTTACGAGTATCGCGAGATCTTGAGAAACGCTGCTCAGATTTTTTTTAATAATTTAAAAAATAACATTAAAAACCAAATATTTAATATATTAATTTTTTGCCCTCAGCGGTTTCCCCCTCGGTTCGTGCGCATAAGAGATCTGCCATCCTATCTCTGTAAGCACTGAGAATATTGTGCGAGTAGAAAGTCAAACAATTTGTCCCTAAAAACGCCAATCGAGGTCCGCAGGTAGAGTATTCCACAGCTCACAATCAGTAGCAGAGCCAAGAAAGGAGCGTTTGTAGAACTCCATGCGACACAGCGGGCCTTTATGGTAGATTTACGGATATATGAACTTATCAAATACTCAGAACAAAGAATAGTTAATTGCAGAGAGTATCTATTTTTCTGTGTATTCATAGTCAGATCTTATAGACCGTTTTGAATTTATCTAAAAATGCTGCATAGGACATTTGTGATTGGCTACGGAGTATCTAAAGCTGATCTTAAATATCTTAAGTAAAAGTTTTCACGGCGTGCTGCATCTGCGTATTTTCTCCAGCTGCCTAAGACTTTTGCACGGTGGAGTGTAATTGAATTGAAATCGCACGTACGCTCGATGCGCGTCCGCGTCGCAACTGCAGCCGCGCAAGAACAGTCGCAACACGTCCGAGTACGTGCGACATAGCGGCGCGGCGCAGCGTCTGCAAAAGGAGGAACGACGGTCTCGTTCTTTATACGCGTTACGCGCCACCCGCGTCTTTATTAGCCTCTCCGTCTCTCTTTGTTTCTCTCCGAAGTCGTTTCACAGCAGCCCGAGGGATCAAAGGGCTAATATGATTTCTCTCTCTTTTTTCCCCTCCTCGCCTCGCCGCTCCCTGCAGCGAGACACGCGTGCGCTGCGACGAGCGAACGAGAACGAGCGGCTAATACCTCGCGAGCGGGAGGAAGACGTGAGACGCGCCGCGCGAGCAATCGCGCTGAATAACATTCAGCGTATAAAATAAACGCGCGCGCGCGCCGGCCGCGCACAAAGGACCCTTAGTGGCGAGCAGTGTAAAAAAGCCGCCGTTGGCGGGAGAAGGAGAGCCGAAAGAGATCGAGACGAGGACGACGACGATCGGCGCGAGCGGGCGACGCGGGGGGTCGTGCTCCGCGCGGCGTGCCCTCCTGCCCCCCCGTCGTCTTTTCAGAGGCGCGGGACTCCTCCAGAACTCCCGCGGTCCCGGTTCTCGTCCGTAACTCGAGACGTGTAATTAGGAGCGCCGGACCAAGATGAATGGCCAAGTGGTGCCGGTGAGTGGCGCAGCCGTGGACGGGACGAGTGAAAGAGCCAGGAGAGAAAGGTGCAGAAGGGAAGAGAAAAAGGGGGGGAAGAGGAATACCACCGAGGGGTAGCAACCACGGGGCACCATAGCGCACTCGAGGGTTATCTCGTACATTGCGCGCACCCCCTCGTCACCCCCCCCCCCTTAACTTCGATGCTGGCCGATATTGGGTACAGATGTATATACCTACGTAATACCGCACGGCAACCACCTCTCCCTTCCGCCCCCTCCCCGCCCGACGCACGCCGAGTCTGCGTACACTCGTCGCTTCTCGTGTAGGTGTGCGCGGGGCTATCGAACCGGTTCCTCCTCTCCGAGAGGAGAACCGCCGTCATGGTGGAGAGTGGCAGCATCCTTTCCTCACCACTCGGACCCCTCGTCTCGCCGTCGCGAGTCCTCGCGACGGGGCCGAGGGAGGATCCGCGAGGAGGGCCAGCGCAAATTGGCCAGCTCCGATTTAAGGATGAAAGAGCGGCGTCTCCTTTTTTCCCCTCTCCTCCTCGCAATTTGCGTCGCAGAGAGAAGAGCGGTATAATGAAAAGAAAGTTGTGATCTTTCTTCTCCCCTCATTTCTATTCCCTCTTTCGCCACGTCTGTAAAGGCGGCGTGGATAGCCGAGGCAGTTCGATGGAGAATAACTAACGATACAACGTTTTTCATCAATTCGCAGACCGAAGTTTCAAGTCATTCTTAATCTCGCTTAGGAGTCCGATGACAGCACGGAAGAGGGAAGGACAAACGTGCGAAAAGTGATTAATCCTGATCTGATTTTTCGTACGACTCGATTCTAAAGCCTATTTTTCCTACTGGATCGCTTACGAGAGCCAATCAGAATCTAGGCTTAAGTCACCTGACCTAAAACTCTGCATCCTTGTTGGTTCTCGTGAGCAATTCGGTGGGGAAAAATAGTATCGTGCGACGCTGACTTAAATCATTCGCGAGCGATATCTGTCAGCATTTCGCGACTCCATACGCGCCGGGAACAGTCGCTACAAAGTACCAACGAGAATAAAACAAGATGTACGCAAACTAGCCGCTGCGTTCAGCAGAAAAGCCTGCTGTAAAAGTCTTGAATCTGATTGGCGAATGCTGTTAATTGGCAGAACCTAAGAGTATACTCGAAATTTGAGAATTTTACAACAGTTGCAAAGCAGCTTTTTCTACGGAACGCAGCCGTACGCAATGCTTTTCGCGCAGTCGTCGAGTCGAGGAAAACTAACGAGGGTGTACGAGGGAATTAGCCTCTCCGGCGCACGCGACTGGCTCGAAAAGATCCCGCGGGACGTCCCCGAGATCTTTTTTCGCGCGAGACGTCGCCAGGGATGTCTGTTAATCACACGCTCGGAAAGCGGGGCCGGTAACGACATGGAGATATTTCACTCGGCGAGTTACGCGATCTTATCGCGAAATAACAGCGTGCAACGAGCGTGTAACAATGCTGCCGGCGTAACGTATCGCGCTTACCGTATCGCGGCCGCGATGCAGCCGCCAGATACCCCTCGCGCGGTTCCTCGCGCACGAAACGATACCACTCTTACCCCTTTCCCCCGTAGCCCGACTGGCGTAGCTCGAAATCAACGCGGCTCCGATAATATCCCCGTGATCGATAGCGCCGCGAGATCCCGATCGCGGAGGAGAGAATCGCACGAGGGCGAAGGGACGGAGTCGCCTCGAGATGCATCACTAATTTTTTTTTTGTACTTTTTCGCCTCTTCCTTCGTCGGAGTCAAATCGACTGGGTCGGCCGAGGCGCGTGATTCGAACTCAATTAGCCGTAATTACAAGGTCGAGCGGTCAGAAAAGAAGGAAAGGGAGGAGACCGCGCGGCCAACCGGTCTCGGGGACCAGGCGATCGGGAATCGCGAGACGATCGGAGCGGGACCGCGAGGAAAGGGATGGAGGAAAGGGGGGGGGGGAGAAGGAGACGTCGTTACGGAAACTTCGATCGACTCTCTTCCCTTCCCGCGTGATTCACCCCGACGCGACGGCAGACGGGCTCGCGCGGCAGGACAGCGGGAAGGGAGGGAAGAGCCCTGATATTCTATGCAGCTCCGTGCGGTGTGCGGTACTTACACAGGCAGACGAGCAGGGCCAGTACAGCCGCGACGCGCCGCATCCTCCTGGATTCGCGCGTATCAGCCTGGAGTCAATGTACACAACCGCTGTCGCGCGCGAGAAAAAGGGAGAGAGAGAGAAAGAAAAACACCGCGTGGTGGAAATTCACGTCGAGAGCATTTTCACGCCTGGCCCTCGGTCCTTGGTAACTTTGTAAACGATGCGCACGCGAGACAGAACCAAACGAAGGCAACAACCGGCACGAAGGGACGCGCGATACTGCGGCGGCGAACCCACGCCGGCGCGAAGCGACCCCTGGCGAAACGCGTTCGGTTCGCCCCGCCGGTCATGCGTGGTTGCCCGCGTCGCCGAGAGAGAGCGCGACCTGTCAGTTACGAGTCCGAAGGGGTAACGCGCCTGAAATACCCACTGAAGGGAATCGGAAAATGGATCATAGCAGCAACATATTATACCGTGCTGATTCATCCTGTATTTCGCTATGAACGTCATCTTGTACTTCGACCAATTGTTATCAAGCCACGAAAAAAAACTGCAATAATATAGATGGGTCAAGAATAAAATGTATGTGCGTATGATCGCGCACGCGCAAGTTTATTTCAAAACAAATTGATTAATGATGACAATTGATAAAAAAAGTTGTATTGATCTATAAGCAGTATGCAGATAAAGATCAAAGTTTCATCAGTAACTCATTTGTTCAATTAGCATGCATCGTGAGTTTACCTTTCTTAGCTGAGTAGACGACGTTTCTTATTACGTAGCAAGATTTAGCTATTTACATTCCACACAATTATAAAGTCGAAATTAACATTACAAATACATTAATGTAATAACCTCTAACAAAGCTTAATGATGAATCAAACTACAAATATTTAATCATCGGAAAATACTTTTATATTGAATCTAAATTCTTACTAAAACATAAAAGAGATTTTTTAAATTAATTGTTAATGATTGACTTTTAATAGAAGTCATGGTATATTAAAAAATATTGATTGCGATTGAAATCAAATAGCTAATCTTATACTATTATTGAGAACAGTTCCATTTCGCTATCTTTGCTTCTTCGCGCTAAGAAATAAACGTTTCTCCCCTCCCATCTTCGTTTCCCTGACGCATTCGATATATGCTGAGCTCAGTAACCGCAGATATTTATAACGTACTACGCCGCGTCCAGTGAAGCATCTCGTTATCTCGTTTTCCGACCACGATGGTTTCGACGTTTGTGCTTTTACTGATTACTCTCGGCGTCGTCGGTCTTGTGAAAATTATCTTTGCGCTGCATCGGATGTACTTTTACTGGAGGAATAAGGGCGTACCTTACATGCCGAATTCGTTATCGTCTTTTACAGTGCCTTGGAAATTAATGTTGGGCTACATCTCTTTCGCCGATCTGAATCAATATATGTATAATTACTTTCCCAACGCTAAATATTACGGAACAAATGATTTTCCCACGCCTGCCATATTTTTACGCGATCCCGAGTTGATTAAAGACATAATGGTGAAGGATTTTGAAAATTTTCCGGATCATCGCATTGTTCTTGATGAGAACGCAGAACCACTGGTTGGTAATAATCTTTTCTCTATGCGCGGAGACCGTTGGAGAGAAATGAGGACTACGTTGAGCCCTTCTTTCACCGCCAGCAAAATGAAGTTCATGTTCGATTTGATATCGAAGTGCTCTCACGATTTCGTCAATTATCTCTATGACCATCCGGAGCTCTGTTGTGTAATCGAAACGAAGGAGGTCTTTAGACGATACACCAATGACGTAATTGCTACGGCAGCTTTCGGCATAAGTGTGAATTCTATGAAGGATCAAGACAATGAGTTCTATAGAAGAGGTATAGAGGCCACCACATTTTCCTCTGGACTGTCAATGATTCTTAAAGTAATATTTTTACGCGTAAGTCCTTCATGGCTTACTAGATTATTGGGTTTAACTTTTTTCCCACTGGCTACGGGCAAATTTTTTAAAAAGATCGTAGAAGAAACCATCAGAGAACGAGAAAAGCGTGATATTATCCGACCGGATATGATTCATTTGTTAATGCAGGCTCGAGGCAAAGACAATGCCAGTCCCAAAATGACACTGGACGATATCGTTTCGCAAGCCTTCATCTTTTTCTTAGCCGGCTTCGACACCTCTTCAACCTTGATGTGTTTCATTGCTCATGAATTGGCGGTCAATCGAGAAATTCAAGATCGTCTGCGCAAAGAGATACTACAGCATCTTGCCGAGGGAAACGGTGAGATTTCTTACGAAGTACTGTCGAAGATGTCGTATATGGACATGGTGGTTTCCGAGGCTCTCAGAAAATATCCACCGGTGATCGTCCTTGATAGACGTTGCTCTAAGAGATACGAACTTCCTCCAGCGCAACCAGGTTGCAAAAGTGTGATTATCGAACCTGATACTGTATTGATGTTTCCCGCGTATGCTTTACATCGCGATCCGAGATATTTTCCGAATCCGGATAAGTTCGATCCTGAAAGATTCAGCGAGAAGAACAAGGACAACATTTTACCATATACCTACATACCATTCGGTCACGGACCTAGAAAGTGTATCGGCAATCGATTTGCTCTTATGCAGACCAAGATTTTGATAGCTCATCTTTTACAAAAGTTTATTTTAAAGACTGTGGAAAAAACTGTCGAACCAGTTGTATTTTGTAAAAAGGAATTTTCCCTGAAACCAGATGGCGGATTCTGGATTGGCTTGGAGAAGAGAGAAACGTGAAAATCTTGCACACAGTATATCTGTAATTGTATGTGTAAAAATATTATCGAATTTGCAACTTAAAGATATTCTACACTTGCAAAACACGATTTATGTATACAGTATAATTCAATTGAGATGTATTGTTCAATTCGCAAATTAAGTTTATACTAACATAAGAAGTGAAGAAACTGGTAAATATTGGTACTTCTTAGATTCTCGAATCTTTTCTACGTGGTTATTATATTTACTGACTTATATGACTTTTTCCACTTTCAGTAACACAGTAGAGATACGGTCGATATAGATGATTCTTTATGTAAGAGCGAATACTTTATTGCGCGAACGTCTATCGTTTTGAAGGGATGGGGGAGGGGGGGCGGGATTGCATTTTTTAATAACAAATGGTAAAAGTTTTAAAATGTAGAGAATTATTCTGTTCCTTATATTTCTTTAGAAAATAATTAGAGTAAATAGAAAAGCTTGAATTAGGTCTATTTGTCGCACAGAAATAACGCATTTTTCCCAGTTGTTTCCTCTTATATAAATGCTGAAGTTCAACTGTGTCATTGCCAGCTACCTTTCTATTGACAGTCTTGGCATTAGTAGGTTATGTATCCGTTGATAGTTTAAGTATCCATTAGCTGATTATTTATCTGTGTCATTCATTATCTATTACTTTACTAATTTATTTATATTTCTATTGTGCACTTTAGAATATATTATGAAAGAGTTTTGTTTACTGTAAAGGAAATATGGAGCGGAAAATGTAATTACATTTACTAAACTTTAATTTAAATCTTACTAATGACTTCATTATAAATGTTTAACGTCCAATAACTTACGTATCAACTGTTTTTTAAGTAACAAATATATTTTTAAAAATTTACATTTAAATGATACAACGTGTAAATTGCGTTAGATATCTCCTTACTTTGAAAGTGTTTTTATAATAGTTTTACATTATTATTTATTTTCTTTGAGCAAGTCTTTTGCTTCATCGAAATACATCTGAATATTTATATCTGCAGGAAGTTTGTATGAAAATTATTCTGCAGTATAATATATTTATATGTATATCATTTTCTTGATTTCCAATCACGTTACAAAACTGTACCATATGTATTTTATTACATATAATATTTGTAATGTCAAAAAATGATAATCAATTATAAGACTCGCATATTAATAAGACTATAAGGAAATTCCTGGGCACTTGATTCAGAACTGTATTTTCTATTATTATTAATAAGAAGAAAAAACAATTGTAATTAACGTAAAATAAATCTCTATCGTCTTTTATTGTGTTTTGAAAATTGCTTTTGGGCTATATTTTTTCGTCGGATACAACGAATATACAGACAATTACTTTCAAAACGCTAAATATTGGCAGTCCAACCATATTCTTACGCGATCCCAAGTTGATTAAAGACAAATTTAAGTATAACTACATGCAGGTAATTTTTACTGATTTCCTCGAACTTTCCATACAGAAGAAAAAATTTGAAAATTTCTTAATTATTTTTACTCTTCTTGTTGTTACGTATCATACGTATGCAAACACAGATTATACAAGTAAGAGAAAGAAAACGTATATAGACATATTTTACGCAACATTACGATTATCAAATTTATTATTTACAAGCGTAAGAAGCGCATAATGAATCAAACTACAAATATTTAATCATCAGAAAATATTTTTATATTGAATTTAAATTCTTATTAAAATGTAAGAGAGATTTTAAAAAATGATTGTTAATGATTGACTCTTAATAGAAGTCACGGTATATTGAAAAATATTTGTTGTGACTGAAATCAAATAGCTAATCTTATACTATTACTGATTACTGAGTATTATCACAATGATTCCGAGAAGAGTTCCATCTCGCTATCCTTATTTATTCGCGCTAAGAAATAAACGTTTCTCCCCTCCCATCTTCGTTCTCTTCACATATACGATATATACTGAGCGCACTGAGCGCACGTATTCATAAAGTACTGGACCACGTCCAACGAAGCATCTCGTTAGTCTGTTATCTCGTTATCCAATCGCGATGGTTTCGACATTTGTACTATTACTGATTACTCTCGGCGTCATCAGTGTTGTGAAAATTGCGTTTGCGGTGCATCGGATGTACTTTTACTGGAGGAAGAAGGGCATACCTTACATGCCCAATTCGTTATCGTCTTTTCTCAACTCTTGGAAATTATTTTTGGGCTACATCTCATTCGCCGATATGAATCAATATATGTATTATTATTTCCCAAACGCTAAATATTTTGGAACAAATGATTTTCCCGCGCCTACCATATTTTTACGCGATCCCGAGTTGATTAAAGACATAATGGTGAAGGATTTTGAAAATTTCCCGGATCATCGTTCTTTCATTGATGAAAGCGTAGAACCGCTGTTCGGTAAGAACGTCTTCGCCTTGCGTGGAGACCGTTGGAGAGAAATGAGGAATACACTGAGTCCTTCATTCACCGCCAGCAAAATGAAGTTCATGTTCGATTTGATATCGAAGTGTTCTCACGATTTCGTCAATTATCTGGTCGACCATCCGGAGCTCTGTCATGAGATCGAAACGAAGGGAGCTTTTAGACGATACACCAATGACGTAATTGCTACGGCAGCCTTTGGCATAAATGTCAACTCTATGAAGGATCAAGACAATGAATTCTATAGAAGAGGAATAGAGGCTACCACATTTTCCTCTGGACTGTTAACGACGATTAAGATAATATTTTTACGCTCAAGTCCTGCATGGCTTTCTAAATTAACGGGCTTAACTTTTTTCCCGCTGGCTACGGCCAAATTTTTCAAGAAGATCGTGGGGGAAACCATTAAAGAACGAGAAGAGCGTGATATTATCCGACCGGATATGATTCATTTGTTAATGCAGGCTCGAGGCAAGGACAATGCCAGTTCCAAAATGACACTGGACGATATCGTTTCGCAAGCCTTCATCTTTTTCTTCGCTGGCTTCGACACCTCCTCGACCTTGATGTGTTTCATTGCTCATGAATTGGCGGTCAATCCAGAAATTCAAGATCATCTGCGCGAGGAGATACTGCAGCATCTTGCCGAGGGAAACGGCGAGATTTCTTACGAAGCACTGTCGAAGATGTCGTATATGGACATGGTGGTTTCCGAAGCTCTCAGAAAATATCCACCGGTGATCGTCCTTGATAGACTTTGCTCTAAGAGATACGAACTTCCTCCAGCGCAACCAGGTTACAAAAGTGTGATTCTCGAACCCGATACTGTATTGATGTTTCCCGCGTATGCTTTACATCGCGATCCGAGATATTTTCCGAATCCGGATAAGTTCGATCCTGAAAGATTCAGCGAGGAGAACAAGGACAACATTGTACCATATACCTATATACCATTCGGTCACGGGCCTAGAAAGTGTATCGGCAATCGATTTGCACTTATGGAAACGAAGATCGTGATAGCTCATCTTTTACAAAAGTTTAATTTGAAGACTGTAGAAAAAACTGTCGAACCAATTGTATATTGTAAAAAGGAATTTACCCTGAAACCGGATGGCGGATTCTGGATTAGCTTGGAAAAGAGAGAAACGTGAAAATCTTGCACAAAGTATATCTATAATTCTATGATACAGTTGTATTTGTCAAAATATTATCGCGTTTCCAACTTAAAAATATTCACCGTTTTCAACAGACGATTTAAGTATATAATAAGATATAATTGAGATGTATTGTTAAATGCTCAAGTCGTACGTGTAAATTTATACTAACATAAGGAGAGAAGAAATTAGTAAATATCGTTACTTGCTTAGATTTTCTCTTTTCCATGTGCCCATTATTTTTAATGAATTGTATGTATATCTTCCACTTGTCCAGTAGTACAGTAGAGATACATTTGATATTGTTAATTCTTTATATAAGAGCCAATATTTTAATACGATATATGCAGAAAGCGCTACGCCCATGTATTTATAACGTTCTACGCTGCGTCCGATAAAGCACCTCTTATTGTTAGTCTGTTATCTTGTTACTGAAAGTGTTATCTCATGATATCGCGATGGTTTTGACCTTTGTGCTATTACTGACTGCTCCTGGCATCGTCAGCGTTCTGAAAATTATCTCTCTGTTGCATCAAAGGCATTTTTACTTGAGAAATAAGGGTATAACTTTCCTGCGAAAATTGCTATCATCTTTTATTGTTTTGGAAATTGCTTTTAGGCAATATTTCATTTATGGATTATAACCAATACACATACGATTACTTTCCACACGATAAATATATTAAAACGAATAATATTCGTAGTCCTACCATATTCTTACGCGATCCCGAGTTGATTAAAAACATAATGGTGAAGGATTGTGAACATTTCACAATATATAGACATATTTTATATATACCTACACATACATACTTCCGTATAAAAAGTTTTTTACGGAAATTTTATTTTATAGCGGTTTAGATTGTCAAATCTATTATCTACAAGCGTAAGAAGTGCATAATGAATAAAATGACAAATGTTTAATCATCAGAAATTATGTTTGTATTGACACTCAGTTTCTCTTGAGAAATATATAATAGATTTCATAAAAATTGAATTATCAACTTTGATAAAAAATACTTGTCAGCATTTAATTTAATCAACTTATCTTATGTAATTATTGATACAACGTGTACTATCGCAATGATATAGCGTTTTCTGACCCTACCTTCGCGCTAAGAAATAAGCGTTTATCCCCTCCCGACTGCGTTTTCATGTACGGTCTATGCGGCAAGCATTACGCGTACATATTTATAACGTACTACGCCTCGGCCGACGAAGCATCTCGTGAGTCTGTTATCCGATCACATCACAATGGTTTCGACCTTTGTGCTATTATTGACAGCTCTGGGCGTCATCTGCGTTCTGAAAATTGCCTCTGTGATACATCGGATGTATTTTTACTGGAAAAATAAGGGTATACCTTATATGCCAAATTCACTATCGTCTTTTGTGATGTCTTGGAAAGTGCTTTTGGGCTACATTTCTTTCGCCGATTATAACCAGTACGTGTACAATTATTTCCCAAACGCTAAATATTTTGGGGCAAATAGTCTTGGCACTAGTACCATATTCTTACGCGATCCCGAGCTGATTAAAGACACATTGGTGAAGGATTTTGAACATTTTCCGGATCATGTCACTTTCGTTGATGAAAACATAGAACCGCTGTTTGGTAAAAACATCTTTTCCTTACGTGGAGACCGTTGGAGAAAAATGAGGAATACGCTAAGCCCTTCATTCACCGCCAGCAAGATGAAGTTCATGTTCGATTTGGTATCCAAGTGTTCTTACGATTTCGTTAATTATTTGTTCGATCATCCAGAGCTCTGTCGTGAGATCGAAACGAAGGAGGCCTTTGCACGATACACCAACGATGTAATTGCTACTGCAGCCTTTGGAATAAGTGTGAATTCCATGAAGGATCGAGACAATGAGTTCTATTTAAGAGGAACGGAGGCTGCCAGTGGTTTCTCTGGAGTGTTAACGATAGTTAAGATGATAGTCTTACGTTCGAGTTCATGGCTTTTTCAATTAATGGGTCTATATTTTTTCTCGCCGGAGTCGTCCAAGTTTTTTAAGAAGATCGTAACGGAAACTATTAGAGAACGAGAAGAACGTGGTATCGTCAGACCGGATATGATCCATTTGCTAATGCAGGCTCGAGACAAGGACAGTGCTAGTGTATCCAAAATGACATTAGATGACATCGTTTCGCAAGCCTTCATCTTTTTCTTGGCCGGCTTCGACACCTCGTCGACCCTGATGTGTTTCCTTGTTCACGAACTAGCGCTTAATCGAGATATTCAAGATCGTCTGCGCGAGGAGATACTGCAGCATCTTTCCGAGGGAAACGGTGAGATTTCTTACGAAGCACTGTCGAAGATGTCTTACATGGATATGGTGGTTTCCGAGACTCTTCGAAAATATCCACCGGCAATCTTTCTCGATAGACTTTGTAATAAGAAATACGAACTTCCTCCAGCGCAACCAGGCAGTAAAAGTGTTATTCTCGAACCTGATACTGTATTGATGTTTCCCGCGTATGCTTTACATCGCGATCCGAAATATTTTCCGAATCCGGATAAGTTCGATCCTGAGAGATTCAGCGAGGAGAACAAGGACAATATTTTACCATACACTTATCTACCATTCGGTCACGGGCCTCGAAAGTGTATCGGCAATCGATTTGCACTTATGGAAACGAAGATCCTGATAGCTCATCTTTTACAAAAGTTTACTTTAAAGACTGTAGAGAAAACTGTCGAACCTGTTGTATATTGTAAAAATGAATTTAACTTGAGAGCTGTTGACGGATTCTGGATTGGCATGGAGAAAAGAGAAATGTGAAAGTCTTATGACAGGTACCTAATTCTATAACATAATTGTGTTTGTAAAAACATTATTATAAACGTAATAATGTTTTGAACATTAACTATTTATTCTACATTTTCCAAAGACGATTGACGTGTACAATAAGATTTTTGCATCGTATGCCATTATCATTCAATGCACCAACTGAATGACTAAGTTTTTTACTAACAAGAAATGAACAAAATATGATAAATATTATTAATTGCTTAGACGTATGCTTAGTTGTATAACGTCCAGTTGTCGAGGAGTAACAGAATAGAAATGATAAAGCTGGTATAGTTAATTCTTTATATGTGTTAGAGCAATTAGTTTATAGTGCGAACGTCTATCTTATTATTTATATTTTTGAGACAGTTTCTCTATTTTTAGTTCAAATTACTTTTATTTAAAAAGTCGTCAATAATGATATTACAAATGCCATATAGTGACAAACGCGAAATAAAATTATTAATGACTGACTTATTCAAGGCATAATAAATTCACAAAGATTTATTGTTCGCATTCAAATCACTTAGCTTATTTTGTGCAATTGCTGATACAGTATATATCATCTCAATGATTCCGAGAACCGTTCCCTCCTTCCATCTTCGTTCTACTCACACTAACGCTGCGTTTGCACCCGCTGAAAGCTCCATTCTATCCTTGTTACTCATCATACGTTGAAAAAAGATAGCATGACGCTTTCAACGTGTGAGCGCCCACATCGAACGCAGCCTGAGTAATAAGCGTTTCTCCCCTCCTATCTTGGACTTCTTCATATATACGATACACGTAGAAGGTGCGTGTGTTTATAACGATTTACGCCGCGTGCGACGAAGCATCTCGTTGATCTCGTTAGTCCGTTACCTCATCATATTACGATGGTTTCGACGTTTGTGCTGTTACTGACTACTCTAGGCGCCATCGTCGCTCTCAAAATTGCCTCTGTGCTGCATCGAATGTATTTCCACTGGAGAAATAAGGATATACCTTACCTGCCAAATACATTGTCGTCTTTTACAGCGTCTTGGAAAGTGCTTCTGGGCAAAATTTCTTTCGCCGATTACAGCCAATATATATACAATTACTTCCCAAACGCTAAATATTTTGGGACACATGATTTTGGCACTCCTGCAATAGTTATACGCGATCCGAAGCTGATTAAAGACATAATGGTAAAGGACTTTGAAAATTTCCCGGATCACCGCACTTTCATTGACGAAAGCGTAGAACCGATGTTCGGCAAGAACATGTTCTTCTTGCGCGGAAACCGTTGGAAAGAAATGAGGAATACGCTGAGCCCTTCTTTCACCGCCAGCAAAATGAAGTTCATGTTCGATTTGATATCAACGTGCTCTCGCGATTTCGCCGATTATCTCTACAACCATCCGGAGCTCTGTTATGCAATCGAGACGAAGGAGGTCTTTAGACGATACACCAATGACGTAATTGCTACGGCAGCCTTCGGCATAAGTGTGAATTCCATGAAAGATCGCGACAATGAGTTCTATACAAGAGGAATACAGGCAACCACGTTAACATTTGGGCTGTTAATGACGATTAAAATTCTGGTTTTACGCGCGAGTCCATGGCTTTCCAAACTATTAGGTCTAACATTTGTCCCGGCGGCAGCGGCCAATTTTTTTAGAAAGGTGGTGGGGGAAACCATCAGAGTGCGAAAAGAGCAAGATATCATCAGGCCGGATATGATTTATTTGTTAATGCAGGCTGAGGATAAGGGCAGTGCCAGTGTAACCAAGATGACACTAGATGACATTGTTTCGCAAGCCTTCATCTTCTTTTCTGCTGGCTTCGACACTTCCGCGACCCTGATGTGTTTCGTTGCTCACGAACTGGCGGTTAATCGAGAGATTCAGGATCGTTTGCGGGAAGAGGTACGGCAGAATCTTGCCGAGGGAAATGGGCAGATTTCTTACGAGGCGCTGTCGAAGATGTCTTACATGGATATGGTGGTTTCCGAGACTCTTCGAAAATATCCACCGGTAGTCTTTCTCGATAGACTTTGTAATAAGAAATACGAACTTCCTCCAGCGCAACCAGGTAGCAAAGGTGTTATTCTCGAGCCTGATACTGTATTGATGTTTCCCGCGTATGCTTTACATCGCGATCCGAAATATTTTCCGAATCCGGATAAGTTCGATCCTGAGAGATTCAGCGAGGAGAACAAAGACAATATTTTACCATATACCTATATACCATTCGGTCACGGGCCTAGAAAATGTATCGGCAATCGATTTGCACTTATGGAAACGAAAATCCTAATAGCTCATCTTTTACAAAGATTTACTCTGAAGACTGTAGAAAAAACTGTCGAACCAGTTGTATATTGTAAAACAGAATTTTTCTTGAAACCTGTTGGCGGATTTTGGATTGGCATGGAGAAAAGAGAAACATAAAAATCTTATGCAAAGAACATAATTCTACGATATAATTATGTTTGTAAATATATTATCGCGTATTCAACTTTAAAGTATTTAACGATTTTAAAAGACAATTATTTGCTTAGATTCTCGAGTCTATTCCATGTGCTGAGCCTTTTGAATGACTTATGTAACTTTCACTTATCGTCCAGTAGCACAGTACAGATGATACAGACGATGGGTGTGTTCTTGGATCGATATTAACATTAAAAGAATTAAAAATATTTAATGCTGATAACGCATTCCGCGAACGCACCTGAACGTCGTTAATTCTTTATGTAAGAGTAAACCTTTTATCGCGTAAAAGTCTACCGCATATTTTAATGCGGTTTTTCGGATATTCTTTGTTTAATGCAAATTACTAATTAGACTTGTTTATTAGTAATTCTAAAATTAAGCATTCGACAATATATTTTTTTAACAAAATATAATATCAATAACAAGTGCTAAAGTACATTCATTGTGTGCGTATCATATGTGCACTTGTATTTTTAATAATTGTATCGATAATAATTGTACATTGGTATTGCATGTAACTTTTATGTCACACGTATCATTACAGTTAATAAATAAATTATACTTGTAATGAATTTAATTTAATCTAGTTAAAATTAAACTTTTATAGAACTATTCTGATTTTGCAAGAATAATTCTGATAAGAATCATTTTCTTTTAAGTTTTTTAATTCTGTTTTCATTTCTAACTACACGAATGTATGTATAATATACACAATACAATATGTGCCAAAATTAATGTACATTGATATTGCAATGGATATATTGTAAATAAATTAGCGACAAACACAAAATTAAATTATTATTGATTGACTTTTCATGCAACCCATGAAATATTAAAAAATATTCGTCGAGCACAGTAAAATCAATAAGCTTATCTTGGTACCACCTAATACTGATAACTTGTATTATTTCAATGATACCGACAATCCCCACCTCTTTGTTTTTTCACCCTACCAAAGAGAAATAATCGTTTCTCCCTCCCATCTTCGTTTTCTTCACGTATGCGATATCGTTACCACTTCCTATATTCGTGTTTCTCCCACTAGACTAAGCGTTGCTCCCCTTCCATTTATGTGACCTTCGCGTATACGATATACGGAGAAAGCGGAACGCGCACGTATTTATAACGTGCTACGCCGCGATCGAAGAGGCATATCTTTTAGTCGGTTACACTGTTACTGTGTTATTTCATAATAGCACGATGGTTGCTACCTTTGTGCTATTACTGACTGCCTTAGGCGCCATCGGCGTTCTGAAAATTGTCTCTATGATGCATCGGACGTATTTTTACTGGAGGAATAAGGGTATACCTTATCTGCCAAAATCATTACCATCTTTAATAGTGTCTTGGAAATTGCTTTTGGGCAAAATTTCTTTCGCTGATTATAACCAATACATATACAATTACTTCCCAAATGCTAAATATTTTGGAACCTACAATTTTGGCGTTCCTACCATACTTATACGTGATCCCGAACTGATTAAAGACGTAATGGTGAAGGATTTCGAACACTTCCCGGATCATCTCAGTTTCGTTGATGAAAACATAAATCCGCTGGCTGGCAAGAACATCTTTGCCTTGCGCGGAGACCGTTGGAGAGACATGAGGAATACGCTGAGCCCCTGTTTCACGGCCAGCAAAATGAAATTCATGTTCGAACTAATATCGAAGTGCTCTCAAGATTTCGTCAGTTATCTGGTCGATCATCCAGAGCTCTGTCATGCGATTGAAACGAAAGAAGCTTTTAGACGATACACCAATGACGTAATTGCTACGGCAGCCTTTGGCATAAGTGTGAATTCCATGAAGGATCGGGACAATGAATTCTACACAAGAGGAATAGAGGCTACCACTTTTTCCAATGGACCGTTAACGTCCGTTAAGGTTTTAATATTAAGCGCGACTCCATGGCTCTTTAAATTAATGGGCTTATCACTTTTCCCGCTGGGCCTGTGCAAATTTTTCAAGAAGGTCGTTGGGGAAACGATTAAAGCGCGAGAAGAGCAAGATATCGTCCGACCGGATATGATTCATTTGCTAATGCAGGCTCGAGACAAGGATAATGCCAGTGTACCGAAAATGACATTAGACGACATCGTTTCGCAAGCATTCACGTTTTTCTTCGCTGGCTTCGACACTTCGTCGACATTGATGTGTTTCCTTGCTCACGAACTGGCGGTTAATCGAGAGGTTCAGGATCGTCTACGCGAAGAAGTACAGCAACATCTTATCGAAGGCAACGGAGAGATTTCTTACGAAGCGCTGTCCAAGATGTCTTACATGGATATGGTGGTTTCCGAGACTCTCAGAAAATATCCACCGGCGGTCGCTACGGACAGACTTTGCTCGAAGAGATATGAGCTCCCTCCGTCGCAGCCAGGCTGCAAAAATATAATCGTCGAACCTGACTATACACTGATTATTCCCATTTATTCTTTACATCGCGATCCGAAATATTTTCCGAATCCGGATAAATTCGATCCCGAAAGATTCAGCGAGGAAAACAAGGATAACATTTTACCATACACTTATCTGCCATTCGGTCACGGGCCTAGAAAGTGTATCGGCAATCGATTCGCTCTTATGGAAACGAAGATCCTGATAGCCCATCTTTTACAAAGATTTACTTTGAGGACCGTAGAAAAAACCATGGAACCAGTTATATATTCTAAGGAATTTTCCTTAAAACCTGTTGGCGGATTCTGGATTGGTCTGGAGAAGATAGATGCGTGAAAAGTCGAGTGCAACTCTCTAAAAATCAATTAGTGAATTTCTTATACTACTGAAAATTTCAGTGGTATACTTATAACTGTAAATCAGTGGCTATTCACTGTTTCCAGTGATAATTCACTAATTGATTTTTAGAGAGAAAGAACATAATTCTACGATATACTTATGTTTGTAAAAATATTATCGCGTGTTCAACTTTAAATATTCAATTTGTTTGAAACATAATTTAAAAACACACTAGAATTATTTGCAATCTGTGTGTTGCGTTATCTTTGAATGCCGCGTTATCAATCAATCTTTGAATGCCGCGTTATCAATCAACATGATGAAATTGTTACTGGAAAAGAACAAAGAAACCGATAAATATTGTTACTCATCTAGATTCACGAGTCTATTCCGTATATACACCATTTTTAATGGATTGATGTAACTTCCACTTGATGACAAGTGTCATGGTAGAATAGAATTTATATCCTCAATTCTTTATACACATAAGAATAAATATTTTTTTGTGTGAATATTTTAACATTTGTTTATTTTAGAGCGTCTTTTTTATATATTAAAATGTATAAAACACATAAAGTGAATCAAAATGAAAAACGATGAAAATGTAAATCATTTAAGAAATGCCAATTATCGGTCAGATATACTTTGTGGTCTAATAATATTGCATTAATTTTCGTACGTTTATTTCTAATTTAGTAAATTACGTTCGGATTACTTGTAAATCTCCGAACTGAAATACATTATTGTTCGTTTTTAATTCGGGTTACTTTAAATTAGAGCTGAAATGTTTCTTCGAAGATTTTCAATTTCGAAGCTTCGAATCTTCGAAGATTCGAAGCTTCGTAGAAATTATTCGAGAATTTAAGTTTTCGAATTTTTCGAAGATTCGAAGTTTCGAAGTTTCAAATATTCGAAGTCAACTAATATATTAACAGGATAAAAAACAATAACACATTTTGCAAAATTAATCGTTTTTACTATAACTGTGAACTAATTAAATGCCAACTAATTAATATCATTACAAGTATAAAAAAACTAATGTTCTTTTTGTCGGACACATTTTTGTCCATTCGCTCATAAAAATACAATTAATTCGAAGGAAATAAATTTTCTATCATTAACATTTTATCTTATTAACTATTTCTTTTTACTGCCTGATACAGATGATAAATTAGGTTGGTCTTTGAAAGCTTATATCTTAATGCATATAGTTGACTTCGAATATTCGAAACTTCGAAAATTCGAAACTTCGAAACTTCGAAACTTCGAAAATTCGATATTCGAAGTTTCTTCGTTTCTTCGGATACTTCGAAGCTTCGAAGTTGCGAAGCTTCGAATAATTAAGACCACTACTTTAAATATTTATATTTAAAAACTTTTTATATTTTAATTTTTTTTTAATTATATTATTTTCTATTACCTTATTATTAGTTGCAAATGTTTATACATATATTCATTCATTTAACAAGTTTGTTACCGTAATTTTATTTCATGAAAAATTCGAATATTAAATCCAATATTTAGAAGCATAAGAAGCATTATGAATTTGGTACAAAGGTCATTAAAATATAAAATAGATTAAAGTAGATATTTTGTTATTTAATTATTAATAAATGACTTTTAATAGAGGTCACATAGTATATTGTAAAATATTTGTTATGATCAAAATCAATTGTTTTACCCTATATATTTACTGATGCAACATATGTTATCTCAAGAATTCCGGGAATCGTTCCCACTTCCTATCCTTGCGTTTCTCCCACTAGAATAAGCGTTGCTCCCCTCCCAGTTTTGTGTCCTTCGCGTGTACCGTCTACGGAGAAAGCGAAACGCGCACGACTTTATAACGTTCTACACAGCGTCCGACGAAGTATCTCGTTAATCTGTTGTCTCCTTAGTCCGTTTTCTCATCATACCGCGATGGTTTCGACATTTGTGCTATTACTGACTGCTCTGGGCGTCATTGGTGTGGTGAAAATTATCTCTATGTTGCATCGGATGTACTTTTACTGGAGGAAGAAGGGTATGCCTTACATGCCAAACTCACTGTCGTCCTTTATAGTGTCTTCGGAAGTGTTTTTGGGCCGCATTTCTTTCGCCGATTATAATCAATACATATACAATTACTTCCCAAATGCTAAATATTTTGGGACCAATAATTTTGGTACTCCTACCATACTTATACGTGATCCCGAGCTGATTAAAGACGTAATTGTGAAGGATTTTGAACACTTCCCGGATCATCTCTCTTTCCTTGATGAAAGCGTAGAACCGCTCTTCGGTAAGAATGTGTTTGCTTTGCGTGGAGATCGTTGGAGAGAAATGAGGAATACACTAAGCCCCTCTTTTACTGCCAGCAAAATGAAATTCATGTTCGAACTAATATCGAAGTGTTCTCATAATTTCGTCAATTATCTGGTCGACCATCCGGAGCTCTGTCATACGATCGAAACGAAGGAGGCCTTTCGACGATATACCAATGACGTAATTGCTACGACAGCTTTTGGCATAAGTGTGAATTCCATGAAGGATCGAGACAATGAATTCTACACAAGAGGAATACAGGCTACCACTTTTTCCAGTGGACTGTTAACGACGGTTAAGCTTATAATTTTGCGCACAACTCCATGGTTTTCGAAACTATTAGGTCTAACATTTTTCCCGGCGGCAGCGACCAATTTTTTCCGAAAGGTGGTGGGGGAAACCATCAGAGTGCGAAAAGAGCAAGATATCATCAGGCCGGATATGATTCATTTGCTAATGCAGGCTCAAGAGAAGGACAGTGCCGGTGTACCCAAGATGACACTAGACGACATCGTTTCTCAAGCGTTCGTCTTTTTCTTCGCTGGCTTCGATACCTCCTCGACACTGATGTGCTTCGTTGTTCACGAACTGGCGGTTAATCAAGAGATTCAAGATCGTCTGCGCCAAGAGGTGCTGCAGCATCTTGCCGAGGGAAACGGTGAGATTTCTTACGAAGCGCTGTCCAAGATGTCTTACATGGATATGGTGGTGTCGGAGACTCTTCGAAAATATCCACCGCAGGTCGCTACCGACAGACTTTGCTTTAAGAAATACGAACTGCCTCCATCGCAACCAGGCTGCAAAAGTGTAATCGTCGAGTCTGACGAGTCAGTGATGATTCCCATTTACGGTTTACATCGCGATCCGAAATATTTTCCGAACCCGGAGAAGTTCGATCCCGAAAGATTCAGCGAGGAGAACAAGGACAATATTGTACCATACACTTATCTACCATTTGGTCACGGGCCTAGAAAGTGTATCGGCAATCGATTCGCTCTTATGGAGACCAAGATCCTGACAGCCCATCTTTTACAAAAGTTTACTTTCAAGACTGTAGAAAAAACCGTTGAACCAGTGGTGTTCAGTAAAACTGACTTTACCTTGAGACCTGTTGGCGGATTCTGGCTTGGTTTAGAGAAAAGAGAAATGTGAAAATCTTATGGGAAGTAGAATAACATATAATTGTGTTTGTAAAAATATCATGTTTTCAACTTAAATATATTCTACGCTTTCAGAAGATAAAGTGTAGAATAAAGTTTATTTGCGCTATATAATAAAATCATTCCATAACGTAAATCGAATGATCAAGTTTTTGCTAATGAGATAAACACTAAAAGAACTGATAAATATTATTACTTGCTTAGACTCTCGAGTCTATTCCACGTGCTGAGTATTATGTAACTTCCCCTTGTCGTGCGCTAGTACAGTACAGATGATATAAACGATGGGTGTGTTCCTGGATCGCTATTAGCGTCAAAAGCGCCGTCTAGCATTGTTGCTCATTATATGTCAAAAAAGGATAGGAGACACTTTTTATGCTGATAGCGCATTCCGCGAACACACCCGATGTCGTTAATTCTTCATGTAAGAGTGAACTTTTTATCGCGCAAAAGTCTACCGCATATTTTAACGCAGTTTTCTGGATGTTCTTTGTTTTAGTGCGAATTAGATTTGCTTTTTATTAATTTTAAATGTAAGCATTCGACTATATATATTTTAACAAAATGTAATATCACTAACAAGCAGTGAAGTACACTCATTGTGTGCGTATCATATGTGCATTTGTATTTTAATTATCACGGTTTTAATATCATGCAAATTATAGTATTTTGTAATACTATAGTAAAAGTTCTTAAAATGCGAAAAATTATTCCGTTATTTATATTGTAATAATTTAAAACATAATCGGAAAAAAATTGTACACCTATGTATAATAGTTGCATCAGAAGTTTAACATATAAACTCATTTTTTCCAATCGTCCTATGTCATATAAATGCTAAAGTTCACCTGTTACTGCGAGACTTTCTATTGACTGACTTAACATCGGTAGGGATTTATATCTATTACGTTACAAGTATTAATTTATCATTAACTATGCTAGTCTTCTTTATCATATTTTTAGTGCTTCCTTGAAAAAATGTTATAAAATATTTTGTTAGCTTTCAAGGAAATTTAAGAAGTACCTTTTAAGTAATATTTTGAATAAAAAATGTGATGAAAAATATAATTACGGTTATAATTTAAAGTATCTTGGTATGATGGAAACATTGATTTGTTTTAATTTAAATCGTACTTACTTATTTTATTATATGTTTAACATTCTATATCGTCAGCACCTATTTTCCACATAATGATACATTTTTAAATATATATTTAAATAATGCAAAATATCTTTTATACAATACTATACCAAACAAAATATAATAATTAACTAAATAAAATAAACTTGCCTGAGAAATTGGATAATATAATATTATGATAATATAACGTGTTATTTTTATACACTTAAGTTTTTGTGTTACATGTCTCTTTAATTTAATAATATTTTTCGTTATGTTTTGTCTTTATTTCTAATTGCACGATTGCACATGCTTTAGTGTATGTACATATGTATGTACATTATTCAATATGTACTAAATTGATATTGCAATGGATATATTGTAAATAACGTAGCGACAAACACAAAATTAAATTATTATTGGTTGACTTTTCATGCAACTCATACAATATTGAAAAACATTCGTCGATAACATTGCTTATCTTGAGTACCTGCCAGTACTGATAACTTGTATTATTTCAATGATACCGAGATTCCCCACCTCTTTGTTTTTTCACCCCACCAAAGAGAAAGCGTTTTCCCCCTCCCATCTTCGTTTTCTTCACGTATATGATGTAGTATGAAACAGTACTACGCGCACGTATTTATAAAGTTCTGCGCCACGTTCGAAGAGGCATCTCGTGCTCTGTTATCTTGGTACTGTATTATTTCATGATATCACGATGGTTTCGACCTTCGTGCTATTACTGACTGCCTTAGGCGTCATCGGCCTTCTGAAAATCGTCTCTACCCTGCATCGGACGTATTTTTATTGGAGGAATAAAGGTATACCTTACCTGCCAAACTCATTATCATCTTTAATAGTGTCTTGGAAATTGCTTTTGGGCAAAATTTCTTTTCCCGATTATAATCAATACGTATACAATTACTTCCCAAACGCTAAATATTTTGGAGCATATAATTTTGGCGTTACTACCGTATTTATACGTGACCCTGAACTGATTAAAGACGTATTGGTGAAGGATTTTGAACACTTCCCGGATCATCTCACTTTCCTTGATGAAAGCGTAGATCCGCTGATTGGCAAGAACGTCTTCGCCTTGCGCGGAGACCGTTGGAGAGAAATGAGGAATACTCTGTCTCCCTCTTTCACCGCCAGCAAAATGAAATTCATGTTCGAACTAATATCGAAGTGTTCTCACGATTTCGTCAATTATCTGGTCGACCATCCGGAGCTCTGTTATGCAATCGAAACGAAGGAGGCCTTCAGACGCTATACCAATGACGTAATTGCTACGACAGCTTTTGGCATAAGTGTGAATTCCATGAAGGATCGAGACAATGAATTCTATACAAGAGGAATAGAGGCTACCAGTTTTACCAGTGGACTGTTAATGACGGTTAAGTTTATGATTTGGCGCACATCTCCATGGCTTTCTAAATTAATGGGTATATCTTTTATCCCGCCGGGTACGTCCCAATTTTTCAAGAAGGTCGTTGGGGAAACGATTAAAGCGCGAGAAGACCAAGATATCGTCAGGCCGGATATGATTCACTTGCTAATGCAGGCTCGAGACAAGGACAGTGCCAGTGTACCGAAAATGACATTGGACGACATCGTTTCGCAAGCGTTCATCTTTTTCTTCGCTGGCTTCGATACTTCCTCGACCCTGATGTGTTTTGTCGCTCATGAACTGGCGGTTAATCAAGAGGTTCAGGATCGTCTGCGTCAAGAGGTACTGCATCATCTAGCCGAGGGAAACGGTGAGATTACTTACGAAGCCCTGTCGAAGATGTCTTACATGGACATGGTGGTTTCCGAGACTCTTCGAAAGTATCCACCGCAGTTCGTCACCGATAGACTTTGCTTTAAGAATTACGAATTGCCCCCATCGCAACCAGGCTGCAAAAGTGTAATTGTCGAACCTGGTAATACGCTCATGATTCCCGTTTATTCTTTACATCGCGATCCGAAATATTTTCCTAATCCAGATAAATTCGATCCCGAAAGATTCAGCGAGGAGAACAAGGAGAAGATTGTACCATACACTTATCTGCCATTCGGTCACGGGCCTAGAAAGTGTATCGGCAATCGATTCGCTCTTATGGAGACGAAGATCGTGATAGCTCATCTGGTACAAAAATTTATATTGAAAGCTATAGAAAAAACCATGGAACCAGTTATATTTTCTAAAAAGGAATTTGCTTTAAAACCTGTTGGCGGATTTTGGATTGGTTTGGAGAAGATAGAAATATGAAAAATCGAGTGCAAAGAATATAATTCTACAATAAAATTTTCGTTGTAAAAATATTATCGCGCGTTCAGCTTTAAAATATTCAATTTGTTTGAAAGATAATTGAAGAACACAATAGAATTATTTGTAATCTGCGTATTGCGTTATCTTTAAATGTACAATCAGCATGATTAACTTTTTACTGGTAAAAAATGAAGAAACCGATAGATATTGCTACTTATCTAGATTCACGAGTCTATTCCGTATAAATGGTACATCATTTTTAATGACTAACGTTACTTCCACTTGTCGACCTGTGGCATGGTAGAAATGATAGAATAGAATTGATATGCTTAATTCTTGATATACGTGTATAAGAACAAATATGTTAATTTGTGAATATTGTAACATTTGTTTTTTTGTCAGTCTTTTTTACACATTAAAATATATAAAACACATGAAGTGAATCAAAATGGAAAGCGATGAAAATGTAAATCATTTAAAAAATGCCACTTATTGGTCAGATATATGGTACTTTCCAGCCCAATAATATTATATGGATTTTTGTAAGTTTCTTTCTAACTCAGTAAATTACGTTCCGATTACTTGTATTTCTGATAAGTAATTTACATCATTTTTTTTTCAATTCAGGTTACTTTAAATAATTCATACTTTTTATAATTAGTCGAAAAATTAAGCATTTGACGTACATTTTTTGGCAATGTATAGTAATATCAACAAATAATGCAAATACACCAATATAATAAATTATGTAATAGACGTATTATGCGTATTATATGCATGTTTATATTTAAAAAATGTTTTCAACTTGAATATTTTTAATTATATTATTTTCTAATACCTTATTATTAGTTGTAAACGTTTATATATTCATTTATTTAACAAGTCTGTTAATGTAATTTTATTTCATGAAGATTTCGAATGTTAAATCCAATATTTAGAAGCGCGAGAAGTATTATGAATTTGGTACTGAAGTTCATTGAAATATAAAATAGATTAAAATATATATTTGTTAATTAAATTATTAGTAAATTACTTTTAATAGAGGTAACATAGTATTTTGAAAAATATTTCTTATGATCAAAATCAATTGTCTTACCCTATACACTTACTGATGCAACAAGTGTTATCTCAAGGATTCCGCGAATCGCTCCTACTTCCTATCTATGTGTTTCTCCCACTATACTAAGCGTTTCTCCCCTTCCATTTTTGTCCGCGCATACGATATACTAAGAAAGCGCAACGTGCACGAATTTATAACGTTCTACGCCGCATCCGACGAAGCATCACATTAATCTGTTGTCTTGTTAATCAGTTATCTCATCATACCACGATGGTTTCGACCTTTGTGCTATTATTGACTGCTCTGGGCGTCATCGGTGTGGTGAAAATTATCTCTGTGTTGCATCGGACGTACTTTTACTGGAGGAAGAAGGGTATACCTTATCTGCCAAAATCATTATCATCTTTTATAATGTCTTGGAAAATTGTTTTGGGCAAAATTTCTTTCGCTGATTATAACCAATACATATACAATTACTTCCCAAACGCTAAATATTTTGGAACCAGTATTTTTGGCGTTCCTTCTGTACTTATACGTGACCCTGAACTTATTAAAGACGTCTTGGTGAAAGATTTTGAACACTTCCCGGATCATCTTAGTTTGCTTGATGAAAGTGTAGAACCGCTGTTCAGCAAGAATATTTTCTCTTTGCGCGGAGACCAATGGAGAGAAATGAGGAATACACTAAGTCCCTCTTTCACTGCCAGCAAAATGAAATTCATGTTTGAACTAATATCGAAGTGTTCTCACGACTTTGTCACTTATCTGGTCGACCATCCGGAGCTCTGTCATACGATCGAAACGAAGGAGGCCTTTAGACGATACACCAACGACGTAATTGCTACGACAGCTTTTGGCATAAGTGTGAATTCCATGAAGGATAAAAACAATGAATTCTACACAAGAGGAACAGAGGCTACCACTTTCTTCAATGGACTGTTAACGACCATTAAGCTTATTGCTTTACGCGCAACTCCATGGCTCTTTAAACTAATGGGTGTATCTCTATTCCCGCCGGGTATGTCCAAATTTTTCAAAAAGGTCGTTGAGGAAACGATTAAAGCGCGAGAAGAGCAAGATATCGTCCGACCGGATATGATTCATTTGCTAATGCAGGCTCGGGACAAGGACAGTGCCAGTGTACCGAAACTGACATTGAACGATATCGTTTCGCAAGCGTTCATCTTTTTCTTTGCTGGCTTCGATACATCCTCGACTCTGATGTGTTTCCTTGCTCACGAACTGGCGGTTAATCGAGAGGTTCAGGATCGTCTACGCGAAGAAGTACAGCAACATCTTATCGAAGGCAATGGAGAGATTTCTTACGAAGCGCTGTCCAAGATGTCTTACATGGATATGGTGGTTTCCGAAACTCTCAGAAAATATCCACCGGCGCTCGGTACGGACAGACTTTGCTCGAAGAGATATGAGCTCCCTCCGTCGCAGCCAGGCTGCAAAAATATAATCGTCGAACCTGACCATATACTGATGATTCCCATTTACGGTTTACATCGCGATCCGAAATATTTTCCGAATCCGGATAAATTCGATCCCGAAAGATTCAGCGAGGAGAACAAGGACAGGATTGTACCATACACTTATATGCCATTCGGTCACGGGCCTAGAAAGTGTATCGGCAATCGATTCGCTCTTATGGAGACGAAGATCCTGATAGCCCATCTTTTACAAAGATTTACTTTGAGGACCGTAGAAAAAACCATGGAACCAGTTATATATTCCAAGAAGGAATTTACTTTAAAACCTGTTGGCGGATTCTGGATTGGTCTGGAGAAGACAGAAACGTGAAAAATCGAGTGCAAAGAACACAATTCTACGATATACTTATATTTGTAAAAATATTATCGCGTGTTTAACTTTAAATATTCCATTTGTTTGAAAAACACTTGAAGAACACAATAGAATTATTTGCAATCTGCGTATTGCTTTATCTTTGACTGCACAATCAACATGATTAACTTTTTACTGGTAAAAAATGAAGAAACCGATAGATATTGCTACTTATCTAGATTGACGATTCTATTTCGTATATACATCATTTTTAATGACTAACGTAAATTCCACTTGTCAACCAGTGACATGGTAGAATAGAATTTATATGTTTAATTCTTTATACATCACACATTAAGATCACACATTTTGTCGTGCGGATAGTATAACATTTGTTTATTTTAGACACAGTATTTTTTATACAATATAATATATTAAATACATAAAGTGAATCAAAATGGAAAGCGATGAAAACGTACATCAATTAGAAAATGCCACTTATTGGTCAGATATACTTTGTAGCCTAATAATATTATATGGATTTTTGTAAGTTCCTTTCTAACTCAGTAAATTACTTTCCGATTACTTATATTTCCGATAACTAATATTCTGACAACTTTACATCATTTTCGTTTTTCAATTCAGGTTACTTTAAATAATTCACACCTTTTATAATCAGTTGAAAAATAAAGCATTTGACGTACATTTTTTGGCAATGTATAGTAATATCAACAAATGATGCAAATACACCAATATAACAAATGACGTAATACACGTATTATGCGTATTATATGCATCTTTATATTTAAAAAATATAATTTAAAGTTTTTCAACTTTAATAGTTTTAATTATATTATTTTCTAATACCTTATTATTAGTTGTAAACGTTTATATATTCATTTATTTAACAAGTCTGTTAACGTAATTTTATTCCATGAAGATTTCGAATGTTAAATCCAATATTTAGAAGCGCGAGAAGTATTATGAATTTGGTACTGAAGTTCATTAAAATATAAAATAGATTAAAATAGATATTTTTTAATTAAATTATTAATAAATTACTTTTAATAGAGGTCACATGGTATTTGAAAAATATTTCTTATAATCAAAATCAATTGTCTTACCCTATACACTTACTGATGCAACTAGTGTTATCTCAAGGATTCCGGGAATCATTCCCACTTCTTATCTTAGCGTTTCTCCCACTAGAATAAGCGTTGCTCCCCTCCCTGTTCTGTATTCTTCGCGTGTACCATCTACAGAGAAAGCGCAATGCGCACGAATTTATAACGTTCTACGCCGCATCCGACGAAGCACCACATTAATCTATTGTCTCGTTAATCAGTTATCTCATCATACCACGATGGTTTCGACCTTTGTGCTATTATTGACTGCTGTGGGCGTCATCGGTGTGGTGAAAATTATCTCTGTGTTGCATCGGATGTACTTTTACTGGAGGACGAAGGGTATGCCTTACCTGCCGAACTCACTGTCGTCCTTTATAGCGTCTTCGAAAGTATTTTTGTGCCGCATTTCTTTCGCCGATTATAATCAATACATATACAATTACTTCCCAAATGCTAAATATTTTGGAACCAGTACTTTTGGCGTTCCTACTGTATTTATTCGTGACCCTGAACTTATTAAAAATGTCTTGGTGAAGGATTTTGAACACTTCCCGGATCATCTCTCTTTCATTGATGAAAGCGTAGAACCGCTGTTCGGTAAGAACGTCTTCTCCTTGCGCGGAGACCGTTGGAAAGAAATGAGGAATACACTAAGTCCCTCTTTCACTGCCAGCAAAATGAAATTCATGTTTGAACTAATATCGAAGTGTTCTCACGACTTTGTCACTTATCTGGTCGACCATCCGGAGCTCTGTCATACGATCGAAACGAAGGAGGCCTTTAGACGATACACCAACGATGCAATTGCTACAACAGCTTTTGGCATAAGTGTGAATTCCATGAAGGATAAAGACAATGAATTCTACACAAGAGGAATAGAGGCTACCACTTTCTTCAATGGACTTTTAACGACCGTTAAGCTTATTGCTTTACGCGCAACTCCGTGGCTCTCTAAATTAATGGGTGTATCTCTATTCCCGCCGGGTACGTACAAATTTTTCAAACAGGTCGTTGGGGAAACGATTAAAGCGCGAGAAGAGCAAGATATCGTCCGACCGGATATGATTCATTTGCTAATGCAGGCTCGAGACAAGGACAGTGCCAGCGTACCGAAAATGACATTAGACGACATCGTTTCGCAAGCATTCTCGTTTTTCTTCGCTGGCTTCGACACCTCGTCGACATTGATGTGTTTCCTTGCTCACGAACTGGCGGTTAATCAAGAGGTTCAGAATCGCTTACGCGAAGAAGTACAGCAGCATCTTATCGAAGGCAACGGTGAGATTTCTTACGAAGCGCTGTCCAAGATGTCTTACATGGATATGGTGGTTTCCGAGACTCTCAGAAAATATCCACCATCGATCGCTACCGACAGACTTTGCTCGAAGAGATATGAGCTCCCTCCGTCGCAGCCAGGCTGCAAAAATATAATCGTCGAACCTGACCATATACTTATGATTCCCATTTACGGTTTACATCGCGACCCGAAATATTTTCCGAATCCGGATAAATTCGATCCCGAAAGATTCAGCGAGGAGAACAAGGACAGGATTGTACCATACACTTATCTGCCATTCGGTCACGGGCCTAGAAAGTGTATCGGCAATCGATTCGTTCTTATGGAGACAAAGATCCTGATAGTCCATCTTTTACAAAGGTTTACTTTGAAGACCGTAGAAAAAACCATGGAACCAGTTATATATTCTAAAAAGGAATTTACTTTGATACCTGTTGGCGGATTCTGGATTGGTCTGGAGAAGATAGAAACGTGAAATATCGAGTGCAAAGAACACAATTCTACGATATACTTATATTTGTAAAAATATTATCGCCTGTTCAACTTTAAGTATTCAATTTGTTTGAAAGACACTTGAAGAACACAATAGAATTATTTGCAATCTGCGTATTGCTTTATGTTTGACTACACAATCAACATGATTAACTTTTTACTGGAAAAGAATGAAAAACCCGATAAATATTGTTACTTATCTAGATTCATGAGTGTATTCCGTTTACACATCATTTTTAATGACTAATGTAACTTCCACTTGTCGACCTGTGGCATGGCAGAAATAATAGAATAGAATTTATATGCTTAATTCTTTATACATATAAGAACACATATTTTGTCGTGCGAATAGTATAACATTTGTTTATTTTAGAGACAGTATTTTTTTATACATTAAAATATATTAAACACATAAAGTGAATTAAGAGGGAAAGCGATCAAAATGTAAATTTTTTAAGAAAAGCCATTTATCGGTCAGATATTCTTTGTGACCTAATGATATTGTATAAATTTTCGTATGTTTCTTCCTAACATAATAATTCCGATTACTTGTAAATGTCAAAACACATTTACATTATTTTTCTTTCTTGATTCTAGTTACTTTTTACAATTAATATTTTCTAATAATTAGTTGTGAAATTAAGCATTTGACGTTGAATTTTTTGGCAATGTATCACAATATTAACAAATGACGCAAATGGTACCAATATACCATATGACGCAATACACATATTATGCATGTTATATGCGTATTTATATTTAAAAATGTTTTTATATTTTAATATTTTCAAATACCTTCTTATTAGTTGTAAATGTTTATATATTCATCTGTTTCACAAGTCTATTATTGTAATTTTATTTTATGAAGATTTCAAATGTTAAATCCAATATTTAGAAGCGCAAGAAGTATTATGAATTTGTTATTGAAGTTCATTAATTATAAAATCGATAAAAATAGATATTTTCAAGTTAAATTATTAATAAATGTCTTTGAATAGACGTCATAGTATATTGAAAAATATGTGTTATGAACCAAATCAATTATCTTACCTTATACACTTACTGATGCAACAAGTGTAATCTCAAGAATTCTGCGAGTCGTTCCCACTTCCTATCTTTGTGTTTCTCCCACTAGAATAAGCGTTTCTCCCCTCCCATTCCGCGTCTACCATATACAGAGAAAGCGCAACGCGTACAGATTTATAACGTCCTACGCCGCGTCCGACGAAGCACCACGTTAATCTGTTGTCTCGTTAGTCAGTTATCTCATCATACCGCGATGGTTTCGACCTTTGTGCTATTACTGACTGCTCTGGGCGTCATCGGTGTAGTGAAAATTATCTCGGTGTTGCATCGGATGTACTTTTACTGGAGGAAGAAGGGTATGCCTTACCTGCCAAACTCACTGTCGTCCTTCATAGCGTCTTCGAAACTGTTTTTGGGCCGCATTTCTTTCGCCGATTATAATCAATACATATACAATTACTTCCCAAATGCTAAATATTTTGGAACCAATAATTTCGGCGTTCCTACCATACTTATACGTGATCCTGAGCTGATTAAAGACGTAATTGTGAAAGATTTTGATCACTTCCCGGATCATCTCACTTTCATTGATGAAAGCGTAGAACCGCTGTTCGGTAAGAACGTCTTCGCCTTGCGTGGAGACCGTTGGAGAGAAATGAGAAATACACTGAGTCCTTCTTTCACCGCCAGCAAAATGAAATTCATGTTTGATTTGATATCGAAGTGTTCTCACGATTTCGTCAATTATCTGGTCGACCATCCGGAGCTCTGTCATACGATCGAAACGAAGGAGGCCTTTCGACGATACACGAACGACGTAATTGCTACGGTAGCTTTTGGCATAAGTGTAAATTCCATGAAGGATAAAGACAATGAGTTCTATACGAAGGGAATAGAGGCTACTACCTTTACCTCCGGACTGTTAACGACGATTAAGATCACGTTTTTACGCGCGTATCCACGGCTTTCGAAACTATTAGGTCTAACATTTGTCCCGGCGGCAACGACCAATTTTTTCAGAAAGGTCGTGGGGGAAACTATCAGAGTGCGAAAAGAGCGAGATATCGTCAGGCCGGATATGATACATTTGCTAATGCAGGCTCAAGAGAAGGACAGTGCCGGTGTACCCAAGATGACACTAGACGACATCGTTTCTCAAGCGTTTATCTTCTTCTTCGCTGGCTTCGACACCTCGTCAACCCTGATGTGTTTCGCTGTTCATGAACTAGCGGTTAATCAAGATATTCAAGATCGTCTGCGCCAAGAGGTACAGCAGCATCTTGCCGAGGGAAACGGTGAGATTACTTACGAAGCCCTGTCGAAGATGTCTTACATGGAGATGGTGGTTTCCGAGACTCTTCGAAAGTATCCACCTCAGGTCTTCACTGACAGACTTTGCTTTAAGAAATACGAACTGCCTCCATCGCAACCAGGCTGCAAAAGTGTAATCGTCGAGCCTGACGAGACACTGATGATTCCTGTATACGGTTTACATCATGATCCACAATATTTTCCGAACCCGGACAAGTTCGACCCCGAAAGATTTAGCGAGGAGAACAAGGACAAGATTGTACCATACACTTATCTACCATTTGGTCACGGACCTAGAAAATGTATCGGGAATCGATTCGCTCTTATGGAGACCAAGATCCTGATAGCACATCTTTTACAGAAGTTTACTTTGAAGACTGTAGAAAAAACTGTCGAACCAGTGGTGTTCTGTAAAAATGACTTTTCCTTGAAACCTATTGGCGGTTTCTGGCTTGGTTTAGAGAAAAGAGAAGCGTGAAAATCTTATGCAAAGTAGAATTCTATAGTATAATTTTGTAAAAATATTATCATGTTTCCAACTTAAACATATTCTACGCTTTCAAAAGATGAAGTATAGAATAAGATCTATTTGTTAAATATCACACTGTTATTCAATGCACAAATAGTATGATTAATTTATGCTAATGTAGAGTAAAAAAATTGATAAATATTGACATTTGCTTAGAATTTCGATTCTAGGATACATACGCTTGTTACTTTTAATGGGCATGACTTATATAATTATATAATTTCATGACCTGTAAAATCTTCACTGCTCGTTCATTGATACAGTAGAGATATGATATAGGTAGTTGATTATATAAGAACGAATATTATATCGCGCAATCGTTTATCGCATTTTTTACTTTAAAACAATTAATTTACGTTGAATTTTTGGGCAGTGTATCGCAATATTAACAAATGACGCAAATGGTACCAATATACCATATGACGCAATACACGTATTATGCGTATTATATGCGTATTTATATTTAAAAATGTTTTTATATTTTAATATTTTCAAATACCTTCTTATTAGTTGTAAATGTTTATATATTCATCTGTTTCACAAGTCTATTATTGTAATTTTATTTTATGAAGATTTCAAATGTTAAATCCAATATTTAGAAGCGCAAGAAGTATTATGAATTTGTTATTGAAGTTCATTAAATAAAAAATAGATATTTTCAAGTTAAATTATTAATAAATGTCCTTGAATAGACGTCATAGTATATTGAAAAATATTTGTTATGAACCAAATCAATTATCTTACCTTATACACTTACTGATGCAACAAGTGTGATCTCAAGAATTCTGCGAATCGTTCCTACTTCCTATCTTTGTGTTTCTCCCACTATACTAAGCGTTTCTCCCCTCCCATTCCGCGTCTACCATATACAGAGAAAGCGCAACGCGTACAGATTTATAACGTCCTACGCCGCGTCCGACGAAGCACCACGTTAATCTGTTGTCTCGTTAGTCAGTTATCTCATCATACCGCGATGGTTTCGACCTTTGTGCTATTACTGACTGCTCTGGGCGTCATCGGTGTGGTGAAAATTATCTCGGTGTTGCATCGGATGTACTTTTACTGGAGGAAGAAGGGTATGCCTTACCTGCCAAACTCATTGTCGTCCTTTATAGTGTCTTCGGAAGTGTTTTTGGGCCGCATTTCTTTCGCCGATTATCATCAATACATATACAATTACTTCCCAAATGCTAAATATTTTGGAACCAATAATTTCGGCACTCCTACCATACTTATACGTGATCCCGAGCTGATTAAAGACGTAATTGTGAAGGATTTTGATCACTTCCCGGATCATCTCACTTTCATTGATGAAAGCGTAGAACCGCTGTTCGGTAAGAACGTCTTCGCCTTGCGTGGAGACCGTTGGAGAGAAATGAGGAATACACTGAGTCCTTCTTTCACCGCCAGCAAAATGAAATTCATGTTTGATTTGATATCGAAGTGTTCTCACGATTTCGTCAATTATCTGGTCGACCATCCAGAGCTCTGTCATACGATCGAAACGAAGGAGGCCTTTCGACGATACACCAACGACGTAATTGCTACGGTAGCTTTTGGCATAAGTGTAAATTCCATGAAGGATAAAGACAATGAGTTCTATACAAAGGGAATACAGGCTACCACGTTAACATTTGGGCTGTTAACGACGATTAAGCTCACGTTTTTACGCGCGTGTCCAGGGCTTTCGAAACTATTAGGTCTAACATTTTTCCCGGCGGCAACGACCAATTTTTTCAGAAAGGTCGTAGGGGAAACTATCAGAGTGCGAAAAGAGCGAGATATCGTCAGGCCGGATATGATTCATTTGCTAATGCAGGCTCAAGAGAAGGACAGTGCCGGTGTACCCAAGATGACACTAGACGACATCGTTTCTCAAGCGTTTATCTTCTTCTTCGCTGGCTTCGACACCTCCTCGACCCTGATGTGCTTCGTTGTTCACGAACTGGCGGTTAATCGAGAGATTCAAGATCGTCTGCGCCAAGAGGTGCTGCAGCATCTTGCCGAGGGAAACGGTGAGATTTCTTACGAAGCCCTGTCGAAGATGTCTTACATGGAGATGGTGGTTTCCGAGACTCTTCGAAAGTATCCACCTCAGGTCGCCACTGACAGACTTTGCTTTAAGAAATACGAACTGCCTCCATCGCAACCAGGCTGCAAAAGTGTAATCGTCGAGCCTGACGAGACACTGATGATTCCTGTATACGGTTTACATCATGATCCACAATATTTTCCGAACCCGGATAAGTTCGACCCCGAAAGATTTAGCGAGGAGAACAAGGACAAGATTGTACCATACACTTATCTACCATTTGGTCACGGACCTAGAAAATGTATCGGGAATCGATTCGCTCTTATGGAGACCAAGATCCTGATAGCACATCTTTTACAAAAGTTTACTTTGAAGACTGTAGAAAAAACTGTCGAACCAGTGGTGTTCAGTAAAACTGACTTTACCTTGAAACCTGTTGGCGGATTCTGGCTTGGTTTAGAGAAAAGAGAAGCGTGAAAATCTTATGCAAAGTAGAACTCTATAATATAATTTTGTAAAAATATTATCATGTTTCCAACTTAAACATATTCTACGCTTTCAAAAGATGAAGTGTAGAATAAGATCTATTTGTTAAATATCACACTGTTATTCAATGCACAAATAGTATGATTAATTTATGCTAATGTAGAGTAAAAAAATTGATAAATATTGACATTTGCTTAGAATTTCGATTCTAGGATACATACGCTTGTTACTTTTAATGGGCATGACTTATATAATTATACATATAATTTCATGACTTGTAAAATCTTCACTGCTCATTCATTAGTACAGTAGAGATATGATATCGGTAGTTGATTATATAAGAACGAATATTATATCGCGCAATCGTTTATCGCATTTTTTACTTTGAAACAATTAATTTTTTTAGTGCAAATTACTTTTATGAGTTCCAATGTGTTTGCAGTTAATTCTAAAATTACATTCAACGTTATATTTTTTTAACAAAATATCATAATATTAATAACAATTTGTGCAGTATATGCACACATTTATATTTTAATTATAATGTTTTAATATCTTAAAAATTATATTTATATTTTGTAATATCTTAGTAATAGATAAAACGCGGAGAATTTTTCCATTGCTTTTACATTTCTTCAGCAAATTATCGAAATATACATATAGAAAAAAGGGAACTTCGGATCTATATATAGCAGAAGTTTAACGCATTTCTTCGAAGTGTTTTCATCTTTGGTAATGCTAGAGTTTAACTGCGTCATTCCAGCTGTTTTTCTGTTAACAGACTTGGTAGGGATTTATATGTATATCTATTAGGTGATCCTTTATCTACAGATAATCATTAATCAAATACACTATTTCTAATTTATTCACATTTGTTATTGCAACCTTTAGAACGTATTATAAAATATTTTTAGTTTGAAAGATTTGAGGAGTAAGTTTTAATTAACTTTTTTAATTAGAAATATGTGGTGGAAAATGCAATCACTGTTATAATTTAAAATATTATGAAATGATTAAAACATTCCCCTGATTTAATTTAAATTTTACTTCGTGATTACGTTTAATAGCATTGTCGGTATCTATTTTCCACGTAACTATAATAGCATAATTTGATTTTGTTATTGGAAAATTTACAGGTTAATGTAAATAATATTTGTATATTAAAGTCATGTATCTTTCATGTCATCCTATTAACATCTACTGTTAATAAATAAATTATAACTGTAATATATTTATTTCAACCTACAGTTTATTTAATTCAATCTAACGAAATTTTTTTTATACTTTCGTTTAATTATAGTAAGTTTGCAACAATAATTCTAGTTAGAGTTATTTCTTTTTCTATTTCGTTATTTATTTCTGTGGATCAATGTACTCGTATGTACATATATCAGTGTTTACATAGTATATGTATACGATATCACGCGGTTTTAGGAAAAAAACTGTTTCAAACAAAAGTTGTTGGCTTGAAGGGGGACGTAAGATGATGTGATATCGAGATATATTTTGATTTTGAAAATTAAAATGGGACACCTTGTATATACTTTAACAAGGTGCATCATTATTACAATAGGTATATATAATACATTCCATAGTGACAAGCTCAAAATTGAATTATTAATGATCCACTTTTAATACACGTCACAATATGTTGAAAAATACTTGTTATAAGCGCACTCAAACCAATCAATCAACTTCTTTCGTGTAATTACTGATACAGTATGCATCATTTCAATAGATCTGAGAAACATTTCCATCAGACCTTTGTTATCCACACGCTAAGAAATGAGCGTTTCTCCCCTCTCATCATCATTTTCTTCATGCATACGATATATGCAGAAAGTGCTACGCGCTACGTGTATTTTTTACATAACGTCTTACGCCGCCTTCAGCGAAACATCTCGCTACTCCGTTGTCTCGTGAATCTGTTATCTCATCATATAACGATGATTTCGACTCTTGTGTTATTGGTGACTGCTCTGGGCGTCATCGGCGTTGTGAAAGTTCTCTCTGTGCTGCATCGGACGTTTTTTTACTGGAAGAATAAGGGTATACCATATCTTCCAAACTCGCTATCGTCCTTTATAGTGTATTGCAAATTGATCATGGGCAAAATTTCTTTCGTTGACTATAACCTGTATATGTACAATTACTTCCCAAACGCTAAATATTTTGGAACCAATAATTTCGGCACTCCTACCATACTTATACGTGATTCCGAGATGCTTAAAGACATACTGGTGAAGGATTTCGAACACTTCCCGGATCATCTCTCTTTCATTGACGAGAATATAGAACCGCTGTTTGGCAAGAATATTTTCTCTTTGCGCGGAGATCGTTGGAGAGAAATGAGAAATACGCTGAGTCCCTCTTTCACCGCCAGCAAAATGAAGTTCATGTTCGAGCTAATATCCAAGTGTTCGCACGATTTCGTCAATTATCTGGTCGACCATCCGGAGCTCTGTCATGAGATCGAAACGAAGGAGGCCTTTAGACGATACACCAACGACGTAATTGCTACGGCAGCCTTTGGAATAAGTGTGAATTCCATGAAGGATAAAGACAACGAGTTCTACACAAGAGGAACAGAAGCTACGACATTTCCTTCTGGACTGTTAAGAACGATTGAGATCATGATTCTACGCGCGTATCCACGGTTTTCTAGATTAATAGGTTTGTCCCTTTTCCCGCCGGCTACGAACGCTTTTTTCAGAAAGGTGGTAGGGGAAACCATCCGAGCGCGAGAAGAGCAAGGTATCATCAGGCCGGATATGATTCATTTACTAATGCAGGCTCGGGCCAAGGACAGTGCCAGTGTTTCCAAAATGACACTGGACGACATCGTTTCGCAAGCATTCATCTTTTTCTTCGCTGGCTTCGACACCTCCTCGACCCTGATGTGTTTTATTGCTCACGAACTGGCGGTTAATCGAGAGATTCAGGATCGTCTGCGCGAGGAAATACTGCAGCACCTTGCCGAGGGAAACGGGGAACTTTCTTACGAAGCACTGTTGAAGATGTCTTACATGGATATGGTGGTTTCCGAGGCACTCAGAAAGTATTCACCGGTAATCTTTACCGATAGACTTTGCTCGAAGAAATACGAATTGCCACCGTCGCAACCAGGCTGCAAAAGTGTAATTGTCGAACCTGGTAATACGCTGATGATTCCCGTTTATGCTTTACATCGCGATCCGAAGTATTTTCCGAACCCGGATAAATTCGACCCCGAACGATTCAGCGAGAAGAACAAGGACAATATTTTACCGTACACTTATCTACCATTCGGTCACGGGCCTAGGAAGTGTATCGGCAATCGATTCGCTCTTATGGAGACGAAGATCGTGATAGCTCATCTGTTACAAAAATTTACATTGAAGACTGTAGGAAAAACTCTAGAGCCCATTGAATATTGTAAAAATGAATTTAACTTGAGACCTGTTGGCGGATTCTGGATTGGTATGGAGAAAAGACAAACGTAAAAATCGTGTGTGGAAAGAACATAATTCGACGATATTATTGTGTTTGTAGAATTGTTATTGCGTTCTCAACTTTAAAATATTCAATCAATAAAATATTCGCGCAAAAGACGGTGAAGTGTACTATACACTACCATTAAAGTTTTTGCTAACAAATGATTAAGTTTTTGCTATGGCCTGAAAAAATTGAAAAATATGTTTGTTACTTGCTTAGACTCTCGAGTCTATTCTCCACGTGCTAATCACTTTAAATAACTTATATAACTTCTCCTTGTTGTCCAGTAGCACAGTAGAGATGATAGAAAAGATATTATTAATTGTTTATGGAAAAAATATTTTATCATGTGAACGTCTGTTGTATTTTTAAATCTTGGGACAATTCTTATTTTTAATGCAAATTTTACTAATTCAGATTTTCTTGCAATTAGTTGAAGAATTAAATGTTTAACATTATGTTTTCAAAATGTATAATAATAATATCAATATCAATGGATGTAACACATGCGTTATGTGCGTATCATAAGAGTATTTATATTTTAATTATAACGTTTTAAATATCGCATAATTCTTGGCATACAATAGCAATTAGTGATTAAGTTAGGAGCGATAGCGCGCGCTATTTAATAAAAATAATTTAATGTGATTTTATTTCCTTCTTATTAGCCTTATAACATAACTTTTAAATATGTTATCTCTAGAACAGCCCATTACTCTGATAGCTAGCTTTTAAATCCAATAACCGTCCAAGATATTTCAATATTAATTTTATACATGATCATATAACATATTTGTTATACGACAAGAGTCGTTGTTGTAATTATTTTATCGTGCCCAGGGATCATGCAAATATCTTATCGTTATCTATCAAGTTTTTATACTTTTTTTTCTTTATAAGATAAAGATTTTGTTCGAGGCGTTTTGGCATTTCTCGTATCGTCAATTGAAATCAATGATGAAATGAAGAAGTCATTCGAATCATTGCTTACTTACAAGTCTCGAGTTGACGCCCTGCCAACACCCACATTGATTGGTATCAGCGAACGATGGATGACGTGGTGCATACGCCGCAGGCTCTTTATACGTCGTGGGCTCTTTTATACACAGCACACTGTTGCACGAGAATTGATGGCGACCTTGAATTAATAATGACTCGTCAACTGATGGTCAGAGACTGGAAAACATTGTAATCGTCATTCCGTCAAGTTGAAGCGCAATTTTTTACACGATCGTTCATTAGCAATATCCAATTTCATGCATCGTGCACATGTTTCGTTTGCATATTCTAATTGTAAGTTTCGGACGATCGCAATTGTAGGTATCTGATTTTATATTATAACATATGTAATATTAAACTGTGTACGAAATGTCAGGGAGAAAGGTAGGATTAGAAAATTGTATTCGACACAAAATAATTGTATGGGTAATCAAGTGAAATTAAAAGGTAAGAAAATAAATTAAATATAAATGTAAAATTAATAAGACAAAGAAAGGGGAATCGCGATTGTAATCGGTGGAGATAGTGGAGGGCTTGTACATACACACAGATTGATTCCCTGAATTAAATTTCATTTAAATTGTTAAATTGAAAACCTATAGTTTACAGTTAGAAAAATTCCAAATTTACAATCAGTCAAGGCTTTCATCGTAATTATATTCGGTGAAAACCAAGTGGTCTAAATATAGTTAGAAGTGCCATTATAATTGTATTATACATCCTTTTGTAATAAATATTGCAGCACTGGCAAATTACATCTGGTATTCTTTGTTGCAATTGTTTCTATATGTTGTACACGGAAATGCTTTAGTGAAATACATACTTGATTTCCTTTTTATTGTAATGCATTGTTGCAATGCATGCACAATTACACTCTGGCTGCGTTCGGGGAGATGCTATCAGATGTTATTTTAGCGCTACGAGCGTGCTACGAGCGTGCTCTGTCCTTGTTACTTGCACAAGTTGAACAAGGACAGAGTACGCTCATGGCGCTAAATTGCGTCTCCCCGGACGCAGCCTCTGTGGACGCATCGCAGAATAGAATCGTGGATATAGCGTGTTACCTGCTGGAAATATCCGTCGCTACGTAATTGAATGTAGACGTTTTGTGCACGTAGTAAACGCCAGCAGGCCGATTCCATCTAATTCGCAAGCAGCATTCTCTCCGACATCTGTACGGCCCGGTTTTGCGTGATCCTCGAACACGGTGCGCCATCTGCGGACGTTGAAAACGCGGTCATGAACTACGTAGCCAATGTCCACGCTTGGGCTAAGCGGATAACGCAGATGTCTACGTTGTGCATGAAATGTCGATAAAAACAGAGTTATCGATTTTTCGTTCAAAATAATCGATTGAAAATTTCTAATCTCATAGTCCTTTGTTCATTGCAACAGTTGTTTTTACATTTTTATCATTTCTTTAAGGGGATGCTGGAGTCTGTCTGTTTTACCGACAACGCGAAAGTTAAGAATGTGTGCGTGTATGTATATTACAT